TCTGAATTAGCACTCCAAATAACCAAACTGAATCTAAAGTTGACCAAAAACTGATTTGTAACCTTTTTGGTACTAATATTGGAGAGTGGCCACTGGTCAAGTGGGCCCTAGTCAAGTGATCCCTGGTTAGAAAAAAAGGTTGGGAACCACTGCTTAAGGTGAACTGTCTGTGGTGTTAACGGGGCAAATGTAGAATCTATGCAAATCTGGAAAATATGGGTTGAACAAGGGTACTTTTTCCCAAATGTAAACTGGTCCTCTGTCTCAGTGCATGCATGTTTTCTAAGTGCACTAAATTTAGTGAAAGGGTTCTGTGTTTTCCTTCTTGGAAACTTTGTACTAAAGACATGATTAAGCAATGTTAATAAGAGGTTTAAGTGATGGGCTAATTGGAATGAATGCTAAGCTTTAAAGGTCTTGTGATACATTGAAAAATGCTGCTGTGGCATTAAAAGGATTTATTCCTCTCCAAAGTTTTGATGTAGTTTTTTAAAGGTAGGGGTGTGTGTGTAGTTTCCAAACCTCCCATAAAATGCTTGTTCATTATGTAGTGTTTTGGCAGGTTCTACCTTCGAAAATAAAATAAAATGGCCTTCCTGAAAACAGCTTTTTGCATACAACTTTCAGATTGCACCAAGTGGATAGAGATTTGTCATTATTTATACTGCAATGCAGGATTGCTTGAGAATATTGGTTGGAAAAAATGTTGGAACAGCTAAAAATGGGCCATGGTTTAATGATCTCAGCCAGTTTTCAGCCAATTTTCTAAAATAGGATATTATGCTCAAAATACAATGGGCAACACCATCCTTTCATTTGAATTATTGTATTTCTTTGATTCTAAGACTATCGATTGTGTGGTGCACACTAATTTCAGTACAAGTATATAAAAAGCACTCCCAATTGTTGTGAGTTTTTTCTGACTGTATGGCCATGTTCCAGAAGCATTCTCTCCTGATGTTTCACCCACATTCATGGCAGGTATTCTTAGAGGTTGTGAGGTCTGTTGGAAACTAGGAAAATGGGATTTATATATCTGTAGAATGTCCAGGTTGGGAAAAAGAACTCTTGTCTGTCTGAGGTAGGCGTAAATGGCCACGCTGATTAGCATTTAATGGCCTAGCAGTTTCTAGGCCTGGCTTCTTATTGTCTTAGGAAATCCTTTGTTAGGAGGTTAGCTGGCCTTGATTGCTCCTTGTCTAGAACTCCCCTGTTTTAGAGTGTTGCACTTTATTTACTGTTATGTTTTTAGAGTTTTTTAAATACTGGTACCCAGATTTTGTTCATTTTCATGGTTTCTTCCTTTCTGTTGAAATTGTCAACATACTTGTGGATTTCAATGGCTTCTCTGTGTAGCCTAACATGGTGGTTGTGGGAGTGGTCCAGCATTTCTGTGTTCTCAGATAATATGCTGTGTCCAGATTGGTTCATCAGGTGCTCTGCTATGGCTGACTTCTCTGGTTGAAGTAGCCTGGAGTGCCTTTCATGTACCTTGATTCGCGTTTGAGCAATGCTGCATTTGGTGGTCCCTATGTAGACTTGTCCACAGCTGCATGGTATACGGTAGACTCCTGCAGAGGTGAGAGGATCCCTCTTGTCCTTTGCTGAACACAGCATTTTTTGGATTTTCTTAGTGGGTTTGTAGATTGTTTGTATGTTGTGTTTCCTCATCAGCTTCCCTATGTGGTCAATAGTTCCCTTGATGTATGGCAAGAACAGTTTTCCTCTGGGTGGATCTTTAGTCTCGCGGCTTGTTCTCTGTCTTACAACTCTTCTGAAGTCTGTAGTGAAGTATCAATTCGCCTGTAGAGCCCAGTTTAGGTGGTTCAATTCACCTTGGAGGAGATAAGGTTCGCAGATTCTTTTTGCACGGTCTGCCAGGGCTTTAATTGTGCTTCTTTTTTGACTTGGGTGATAGATGGAGTTTTTATGTAGGTATCTATCCGTGTGTGTAGGTTTTCTGTAAACTGTGTGGCCCAGTTGTTGATTGGGTTACTGTTTTTAGAGATGTTTATATAGGAAAAAATGTGAGGGAAGTAGGGTATATCCTTTACAAATTCACTAAAGAGGACTAGGAAATCTGTATTTATTTTGAGGAGCCATGCTAGCCAGAACTCCCCTAGTAACATTGCTTCTGTCTTACGTTTGCTGTGGTGCAAGACTGTGTTCTCTTCCCCGGAACAGATGAAGAGATGCAGTACTGCCAAAAAGCTCCATTATCAGGTTGAATCTATGTGTTCTCTCTTCCAGAGGTTATAAGACTGGAAGTAGACACAGAATCTACTTCATTTTCTCAGGAATCATATTCAGGAATAGACTTTTGGAAATGCGGAAAGATACAACAAAGTACAAAATCTGAAGAACAGTGATATTGTTGTTGAATCAATCAAAATGCAGAAAATACTACTTTTGAACTTCCACTGGTTTCTCCATCAGGCAAAGATATTAAAAATCATATAGGAGAAAAAGAATGATGAAGTTAGAATCACAGGCCTATATTTTGTCTCAAATGTTAGTTCTGTTGTCAGTTGAGATGCTCTGTGTGGAGGGATATCGATGCAATCAGGCATCCTTTATAAGGACCAGGCACAAAGGCCATTAAAACTCCAGGTTTTGTATTTTGTTGTATTTTGTTTTCCCAGCTAGGGAAACAATATTTTATCTTGCACATTTGGTTTGCCCTTTGTGATTTATTTTATTATGTTATTTTGCATTGTCTATTTTATTTTGTTATATTATGTATTTCGTTGTGTTTATTTATTTTTTTTTGTATTTTATTTTGTTGTATTATTTTTGGGCTCAGCTTCATGTTAGCTGCCCAGAGTCCCCATTGGGGAGATGGTGGTGGGGTATAAATAAATATTATTATTATTATTATTATTATTAACAGTGGAGAACTGTGGCTGATGTATCTGTGTATAGTAATTCCCTCTTCTCTCACAAGCCATGGCAGGCAGGGTTTTTTTTAATTATTATTATTATTGGTGTCTGGGGTAACTTGAGAAACTGCAAGTCGCTTCTGTTGTGAGAGAATTGGCATCTGCAAGGACATTGCCTAGGGGACACCCAGATGTTTTACCATCCTGTGGGAGGCTTCTCTCATGTCCCTGTATGGGAGGCTGGAGCTGACAGATAGGAGCCACTCCCTGGATTTGAACCGTCAACCTTTCGGTCAGCAGTCCTGTCAGCACACGGGCTTAACCCATTTCATCACCAGGACCCCATTTCAGGCAGTGGCAAGCAGAGTAGGGTGTAGGTTTTCTTTAAGACTAGAACTCTTCCAGCCATGCCAGAATTCCATTGTCCTGGTGACTGTTATTTTTCGTGTAAACATGTGTTTGTGCTGTGATGACCCATGTATGTAGACCAAAACATTTGTGTAGGTATTAGCCAATTAGGTCTTTATTGTGCAGCGCTTGCTTGACGTCAGAGGGCTGAATTCACCACCACATCCTCCACCCTTTTAAAATACTGTTTTTTAAAATTTAAAAATACATCCTGTATCCGCCATGAGATGTGGGGGAATGTTTTCTATATTTTCCCTCCTTCTCTTCCCTGGGCAGAAAGAACTTTTTATAAACTAGGAAAAAGCACCTCCGATTCCAAGATGCACTTCATATTTAGAGCTGTTTATATAGAGGGGAAAGTGTGTCTTAGAATTGAAGAAATGCGATGTTTCTTTGCAACTCAATTTATGATACTCTATTTCAGTATACAATCTGTAGTTTTGTATTGATGCATTGAAATAATGCTGTATTTGTGTGTATTGTTCTGTGTTAGAGATTTTAATTTTTTCAACTGCTCACTGTTTTAAATAATGTCTATATTGATCAGCCAACATGCCCTTTGAACAACCCCCACATTCAGTTATTTTCATGATTCTTGTGGAAAGCAGGAGTTTAGGTCTCTTAGGAAACAATTCTGTGATTTATAATTTCTTATTGTACCTGGTGGTGCAGCGGGTTAAACCACTGAGCTGCTGAACTTGCTGACCGAAAGATTGGCAGTTCAAATCCAGGAGGCGGGATGAGCTCCCGCTATTAGACTCAGCTTCTGCCAACCTAACAGTTCAAAAACATGCAAATGTGAGTAGAACAATAGGTACCACTTCGGCAGGAAGGTAACAATGCTCTATGCAGTCATGCTGGCCACATGACCTACGAGTTGTCTATGGAGAACACCAGCTCTTCGGCTTAGAAATTAAGATGAGCACCACCACCCAGAGTCGGACACGACTAGACTTAATGTCAAGGGGAAACTTTTATCTTTACCTTACTACTTCCTCTAGTTCTTCCTTCCCCACCCCCTTTTAATATTATTATTTAATCCTACTATTTGTAAATATACTCCTGTATATATGGGCATATCTTCATAATAGAACAGGTTAGGTCCCAGACCATAGCTGTATAGCAAATATCACTTTAAGGTGAATCATGATTTTTTTTTCATCTACAAAAGCCTAAAAGCATATTTACATCATTATTTATTAAGTGTACAATAGCTCTAGGCCTAACGATGCAAAAGGTGAAATTATAAATAAAACATTTGCCAGAATACAATACTGAAGTGTGCAAATGCTAAAAAACAGGCTGAGCATAGGTAACAAAATGGCATTGTATGGTATAATTGAAAAACCCCATATTAGTGAAACACTCTAAACCCAAAATCTTAAAGCAAGGTATATCTCTATTACAGTGTTCATTTAATGTAATGGGCTCTCCCACCTACAATCATATCCTTTCTCTGTAATTCCTTCAAGGCATTATATTTTATGCCTAGTTTGTTGGGTGGGGTGTGCATTTATCACTCTCCATAAATCTTTTACAGTAAGAGACCACTGGCGCCGTAGCAGAGAGTTTATGCGCAGAACATAGGACTTTATTGATTGGCTCAGTGGTAACCTAGTGTGAATGTGTAATGATCAAGATAATATAGATATTATGCATTGTATTACCGTCAAGGCTTCACCAGTGAAATATTTGTGTTTTTGTTTTTAACAGTGTATTAGAAAACCTGACTGCATCAATGAGTGGGTTGACTGTCTCTCTCAACTCCAGGCTGTTCGCAACTTAAAAAGGTAGGTTCCCATAACCCTAAATGAATTGAGTCAAGGGTTATCTCTCTATCTATATCAGCCTGAATATCCATTCAGTGTTTGCTAAGGAGAATAGAAGGCAAAGATACTTTTTGTTTTTATTTTTGCAGGTTTTTATCTTGTGTTCTAGTTTTTGCCCTCGCCACTGTTTTATTTTTATTGGGGTGATTGGATTTTATTGGACCTTTACTCGATTTTAAGAGCTGATATAAGCTTCTCTTATGTAAATATTTTTGAGTCTGCAGACTATAAACGTTGTCTTTATTAATGCATTAAAGTGAATAAAGAGCAATATGTAACACATGGAATACATTTTGCCCACCATTAACACCACTGTTAACCATTCTCGAGGCAAAACATAACCCGTCATAAACCATGATCTGAATCTGCATTTTCAAGCATGGAATTTCCATCCTTAATTGCCTATATTTGTTTATTCTATGCATAGAGAAGCAAGAAGGAAAGCCTTACAGACTTCATGCTGTGCTTTATAGATACTGCCTTCTGTTTCTCACTAGCAATCACCCATGAGTACACTATGTTATTTTAATGTATAATGAGAATTTTAAAAAATCAGACAAAGATGCTATTTGTGAATGACACAGCCTATCATTCACAAATAGTATCCAGCCTGGGTTGTTGTAGGTTTTTCGGGCAATATGCCATGTTCTAGAAGCTTTCTCTCCTGACGTTTCGCCTGCATCTGTGGCAAGCATCCTCAGAGGTTGTGAGATTTGTAGGAAACTAGGAAAATTGGGTTTATATATCAAACAACATATTATTTGAGAATACAGAAATGCTGGACCACTCTAACAACTACCATGTCAGGCTACTACACAGAGAAGCCATGGAATTGTCCACAAGCATGTGGACAATTGCAATGGAAAGGAAGAAACCATGAAAATGAACAAAATCTGGCTATCAGTACTTAAAAAACTCTAAAATTATAACAGTAAATAAAAAACAAAACTCAAACACAGGAGAACTCCAGACATGAAATAATCAGGAACACCTAATCACCTCTCAACATAGGAATTTCCCAGGCAGTAACAAGCCACACCTAAAAACTGTCAGGCCATCAAATGCTAATCAAGGTGGCCAATTGAAATATTCACACCTAGCTCCAACAGACAAGAGTTCTTTCTCCCACCCTGGACATTCCACAGATATATAAACCTGAATTTCCTAGTTCCAACAGACCTCACAACTCTGAGGATGCTTGCCATAGATGCAGGCGAAACGTCAGAAGACAATGCTTCCCAGAACATGGTCATATAGCCCGAAAAACCTACAACAACCCAGTGATTCCGGCCATGAAAGCCTTCGACAATACAGTATCCAGCCTGTTTGGGGTTGTGCCATATTCATCTGTGGAATCAGTGTACATTTTGACTTTACTGTCTGATCGAGCATTACGACTGAACGCCCAATTGAAGACATTATTTACCCAAATCTAATGCTCACCTTATTTTGACTAAATTACCTCTCCAAAATTAAGTTGTGCACTAGATTCATGTCATACGGTGATTTTAGTCCTGAGCCAAAGCAAATGGGAAAGCCACTTCAGGAGCTGCACCTGAAACTCTTCTTTGAGGAACCTCATATCTAATTTAATGGCCATGGCTCAATGCTATGGGATACTGGGACTTGTAGTTCGGTCAAGCATCAGCATTCTTTGGCAGATAAAGTTCAAGACCTTGTAAAACTACAGCCCCCATGACTCCATAGCATTGAACCAAGGCAATTCTACAGCATAGATGCACCCCAAGGTTTTCTTTTCCATCTCTGGAAGCTTTGGTGTTCTAAATTACAAGGGGTGCACTTTTGGCCTCTGTGCATTATATTTGGCAGCAAATACTTTTTTTGGTTTCAGGGTTTTGAAAATTGAGGTGCACATTAGATTCAATGGTACATTAGACTCTTTGCCTCCTTAGTAATGTCTAGGATAAGAATAGTGATGCCTTGTTCATAACACTGCTTCTGAGTAGGCCAGTTCATTTGGACTCTAAATATGGACAGAGCTTATGAGCAAACTATAGTGAAAGAGGAGCACTGTCAAGTTTTTTCCATGCTTATTCAAAGCACTGGTTCTGGTCTTAGTCTTTCAAGACTTAGCTGGGCTGCATGAGTGTATTTGTATTCCTTTCTACATAGAAAAGTGACCACCAAATGCAGTTTTCATAGTAAGTCTTTCTCCCATTATTATTATCTTTTAAGCACCAGCAGCTTTCCGTCTTAGTCTTTTAAATGGCATTTGATGTCCTTCTTAGTGTTTCTGCTCCCTTGTTATGCTGTCACATTTCTACTGGCCAGTGGCATGGTTATATTGATTTTGTGCTGTTTCCTCTTTCTGTATTGCTCAGTTGTGATGTGTTTACTATTTTGTGTTTTCTTCTTCTTCTTAGCTTCTTTAAACTTATTTTAAATGTTGGGATACAAATAGTAAATATCATTTATTGTGTTTTTATTTTATTTTTTTCCAGATGCAGACAGTAACTGAGAATGGAGATCCCTCTATTGGAAAACAAAATGAGGAGAAAACGTATAAAAAGGTTTCAAAATTTACATATAAAATTTTGGACTTACTTTATTTTGGACTTGCTATTGGTCTATCTGCCTGTCTCACAACATGGAAACATTATTTTCAACCACAAAAGGTTCATTCCACTAGTGCAGGGGTCCTCAAACTAAGGCTCAGTGGCCAAATACGGCCCTCCAAAATAATTTACCTGGCCCTCGCTCAGGGTCAACCAAGTCTGAAATGACTTGAAAGCCCACAACAACAACAACAACAATCCTATCTCATCAGCCAAAATCAGGCCCATGCTTCCCATTGAAATACTAATAAGTTTATATTTGTTAAAATTGTTCTTCATTTTAATTACTGTATTTTTTAAAGTGGATTTTGCACTACAAATAAGATATGTGCAGTGTGCATAGGAATTAATTCATTATTTTTTTCAAATTATAATCCAGCCCTCCAACAGTTTAAGGGACTGTGACCTGGCCCTCTGTTTAAAAAGTTTGAGGACCCCTGCATTAGTGTCTCAAGAGGGGCTTGTTCATATTTTTCTCTCTTCATAAATGTACAGAAACTTCCCTGTGGCAGCCATGGTCAGAATTTTATTAGACATGCAAATGAGAAGTAACGTCACAGAGTGGCAGAACATATACTTTGCAAGCAGAAGGTCACAATTTTAATCCCCAGCATGTTTCGGATAGTTCAACTGGAAAAAAATCCTGCCTGAAATCTTAGAATGTAACTGCCAGTCAGTGTCAAAGTCTGCCTTTGTCCAAGACAACTCCCAGTTAGGGCCAAGACTAGATATTTGTTCTGAACAGTGCATCAAATAGTGGTCGAAACAATCAATGGTTCATGTCTAATATAGGGAACTGATCAAGGAGTAATTTCTAACCACTTTCCCACAATACTTGAGCAAGACTATTTCCTCTGAAGAAAGAAATACTCAACTCTTACGCAATTGCCATATATTGGCCCACCATTCCCACTGTTCTGCAAATGTGCTTGACTACTCTCCTATAGAAATTAATATTTGTTCAATCAAGCCTAATATTTACTCTCATGAGGTTTAATGTAGCAAAGGGAGAGGCAACTGTTGAGAAATGAGTAAGGCTGTTGGTGACATAATGGCCAGACAGTTGATGGCCATGCAGACTTCCAAATGTTGTAGTATTTCTATTTGAGTATGAAGGAGCTTAACTTGTTATTACAGTAAGCCCTCTTCTTTTGTGGGGGTTAGGGGTGAAGGAAAGTGGGGAAAAACAAAGATTTAAAAAGTACTTGAAGTTGACCATAGAATCAGAGTAGAGAACCTAGAGATTCTTAGAAAAATTGTAAATCCAAGAGATGATTTTGAAATCCAGGGTATGAGGTCTGGATAGACAAAAGACACACCCATTTACTGCTTGCAATCACCCAGTGATCTCCAGATAACTTAAAACCATCAAAACCAGCCACACTAGATTCCACACTGGATTCTGTTGGGATTTTGGCCTGCATAAATAGGAGTATGGTATCTAGTTCCAGGGAAGTCATGCTACCCCTCTATTCTACCTTGATCAGACCACACCTGGAATACTGTGTCCAATTCTGGGCATCCCAACTGAAGGGAAATGCTGACAAGCTGGAATGTGTCCAGAGGAGGGTGAGTAAAATGGCCAAGGGTCTGGAGACCAAGCCCTATGAGGAGTGGCTTAAAGAGCTGGGCATGTTTAGCATGCAGAAGAGAAGACTGAGAGGAGACATGTATAAATATCTGAAGGGAAATCATAGGGAGGAGGGAGCAAGCTTGTTTTCTGCTGTCCTGGAGACTAGGACATGGAACAATGGCTTCAAATTATAGGAAAGGAGATTCAATCTGATCATTAGAAAGAACTTCCTGACTGTGAGAGCCGTTCAACAGTGGAACCCACTGCCCCTGACTGTGGTGGACGCTCCTTCTTTGGAGGCTTTTAAACAGAGGCTGGATGGCCATCTGTCGGGGGTGTTTTGAATGGGATTTTTCTGCTTTTTGGCAGGTGGTTGGACTGGATGGCCCTTTAAGTTTTTTCCAACTTTATGATTCTATGATTACCCATGTGGCAGTTAAATTGTTCTTATACATTTCAGCAGAATAGTATCTCCTCCTTAATTTTTGTTATATTAAGATTTTCTTGATAATGTGGACTTAATATTTTGAAATTTTCTTGGTTCGTTTTTCTGAGGAACTTTCAGTTATGACTTGTTTTCAAGTCATTTATATAGCGATGCTTGCTGAAGGGCAAATTGAGATTGGAGGAAAGTGCCTGTGACATCCATGCAAGGAGCAGGATCAGCTGCCAAATTAGGCATTATTTGTTCCCCTGATACCATTGAGGTTTATTATAGTTTGCACTTCCATCTATATGGCTTTTTGATGAGAAAAGATGCTAACCATTATGGTTTCTAATGAAGAAGTGTTTTGCCACAAACGCTTCCCCTGCGAGCTCTTAATGGACAAGAATTGTGATGGCATCCTCTGAATATAATTTTCTCATGAATTCCTTCTCTAATACTTAGCTCTCAATGTGGTTTGGCAGATTTCACATTGGTATTTGAAAGGATTAATGCTAATTTTCAGGAGTCAAGGTTAGCTGGATGAAGTTGGTCGTGAAAGCTGTTGATTCATGTATGGTTCTTCTGCCAAAAATTTATTGTACCATTCTGATACCTATATAAAAAACATATTTTGATGGACAACCTGGATTCATTGTTTGACAGACGTAGAAAGTAGCAGGACAAGGAACTTCTGTTGCATTGAGGCCTATCTGCAGCATAAAGATGAGTCATTGTCTTCTTGCTGTGATGTGAAGATGAAGTGAGGAGATGGGCAGGTCRAATAGGAGTTGGGGGGGGGGGGGRTAGGGTTGTCCAGAATGACAACATGAATCATTGGTCTTGGATGCAGAGCAGTTGTCAATGTCACCAACATTGCCAACATTGGCTTTCTTTGCAGAGCTCCTTGAGCCTGTCTCCAGTGAGAATTGTTTCACAAAGCTGTGGATTTGCTATAGGCACAATTATATAAAGGAATTGGAAGTGAATAGGACATGGGCTGCAGAACTAAGCAACTGTGTCTTTAGAGGCCCAGTTTTCTGCCCTGGGACTTTCCAGGGGTGGCATAGACTGCATAATTGTCCAAAAACTGTGGTGACGATGATGAAGAAGTTGAACATTAGGAAGAACTTCCTAACTGTGAGAGCTGTTCAGCAATGGAACGCTCTGCCCCGGAGTGTGGTGGCTTTTAAACAGATGTTGGATGGGCATCTGTCGGGGGTACTTTGAATGTGATTTTCCTGCTTCTTGGCAGAGGGTTGGACTGGATGGCCCACAAGGTCTCTTTCAACTTTATTATTCTATGATTGTAAATGGCAGGGAAGCAGCAACCTGTTTAAAAGACGAATGAAAATTCTTGGAGATACCCAATGGCTCATTGATACTACACAGTTGTGCTATATTCCACTTCAGTTGCCATGAATTATATATATTTATAATATATATTATATATAAATATATAATATAAAATATATAATTCATCATCATTATATATTTTATATTACATATAATATTATTAATAATATTACAGTATAATGGTATAGTACAATATAGTAATATATAATACTAATATTGTGCTATGCTAATAATATAATATATTGTATTTACAGTATATTCTGGCGTATAAGACTACTTTTTAACCCAAGAAAATCTTCGCAAAAGTCAGGGGTCGTCTTATACGCAGGTGTAGTCTTATGCATGGGAGTCGTCTTAACTCTATATTTTAACTGGAAAAGTTGGGGGTCGTCTTATACGCCCAGTCGTCTTATATGCCGGAATATACGGTACATATTACTTGTAAGCCGCTCTGAGTCCCCTTCTGGGTGAGAAGGGCGGCATATAAATGTCGCAAATAAATAAGTAAATAAATGAGAACATCCTATTAAATCCTGGGCTTTGCAGTTTCTCAAGGGCTATTTAGAATTGTCAGCTGCAGAGTTTCTCTAAGGCTTCACCAAACTACAAATTCCAGAATCCCACAGGCTATTGCCTTATCAATTAATGGGATATACACAAGGAGAAGAGAAGGGCAAACTGACAAGCTTGAAGGAGTCTAGGGTTGCAAGAAAAACAGTACCCACAATAATAATAATAATAATAATAATAATAATAATAATAATAATACAATAATAATAATAATAATACAATAATAATAATAATAATAATACAATAATAATAATAATAAGTAGTAGTAGTAGTAGTACTGCACAATAATGCAGTACCTACTACTGCATTATTGGTCTCTGGCATGAAAGGGCTCAGTAGCCTACTGCTGCTTTCCCAGAAAGGTAAAACCAGAAGCCTGGAGGCTAAAGAGTGGATTAAGGGGAAGAGTGAAGAAAGTGAAACAAGCATTTTTTTTTTATGCCAGTGGAGCAAATGAGAGGGCTGAATAATAAAACTTAACTGTACATCATGGAGTTTGTGGAGGCTGGGGTGTTTGATGTGTCTCCCCAAGGACCCTTTTCACCCACATGGATTTTATAAATTCAAAAACAGTTCTATTGCTTATGCTTGAAGTGTGTTATTCTTCATGACCATATAATTTCCTATTATTCATTCAACAGTAATAGCTCTTACAGTGGCCACACTGTTTTACAAGGGCATAGTTCTATTTTGAGGTTGTGTATGTATAAAAAAGCAAAAGGACACACGGAAAGTTTGAGCTTGCAGTTTGACATCCAGTCAGCCATAGGATAAAATGGAATCATACATATAAGTCAGAGACTCATTGGCATTTTCCGTATGCTGTGTTTCAAGAGGTAGCTTTAGTAACCATAGTTCCCTCCCTCCCTCCCTCTCTTTTAATCATACCATTCATTTGTTTGGCCAAGTCATAAAATTGGCTGCAGCATAAGAATCGCAAAACAAACAAGGAATATATGTACATAGAAACCCATTGCATGTTGGTGTAATGTTTTTGCGTCATTAAATGGGTTCGTTTACCTTCCTCAAAGT